TGCACTTTGCTGAACCCCTCTATCCCCTCCCAGGTCCTGCTGCTGTGGGCTTTGCTGGCCCCAGGGGGTTCCACTGGCCTCACCAGTCCTAGGGTCCATGCCACTGGCTGTGGTCCCAACCTGAGGAGGAGAGGGTTGCCAATTCTCCCAGACTGGAGGCTGCAGCAATGGAGTCCGGACCATCTAGTCAGGATAGTTGGCAACCCAATCTCAAGATGTTCATCCCAAAAATAGTTCCAGTGCCACTGGCCTGATCCGAGGAGACTGGCTCCCCCTTCTACTGAGATGGAGACCATCCAAACTATACATTCCCTTCTACTCCTAAAAGTGTACCAGTGTTCCACAAAATCAACCCCCTCCATCCTACACCATCTACCTTTCCCATGATTCATTTCCAGAACCTTCTGCCTCACATTTTCTTCACTCGTGGGACAGGAAGGAACTTGGAGAATATCATTTACAGATGTGTCTTCAGCACAAGTCTGGGTTCCCTGAAGTCATCTATTATCGGAGAGACAGCCTGTGATGCAGTGTCATTAGTGCTGATATGAACCATCATCAATGCATTCTTTCCCATCCATTTCAGAAGCCTATCCAGTCTGAGAGGGTATGTCTACACTGCATCCCTAGTTCGAACTAGGGATGCAGTGTAGACATACCCTATGTTAGCGGTTATCATTCAAGTGAGAGACTTGGGAGTCACTGTGGATAGTTCTCTGAAAACATCCTCTCAATGTGTAGCAGCAGTCAAAAAAGCAAACAATGTTGGGAATCATTAGAAAGGGATACAGAATATGATAAAGAATCTGGTATTGATTTGAAACTTCTAGCTGTGTGAAATTCCTCCAACTTCTCTCCTCTCTGGTGACCGCAACCTGCCTATCCACCTCTGTCTCCAGATTTGTAGAAGGCTGCAGTGACTTCTTGTGATTATGAATAGCCAGGTCTCTCTCACCAGAATCTCATCAGTGGTTTTTGTCTCTTCTTCCATAAAGATTTTAGAATTTGTCATTCTTTCTTTGTTGTTGTGTTTTCCCCCATCTTGAATAATGGTCCTATCCTGTCCTTAGTGTTCCTCTTGCTTCTAATCTATTTGTAGTTTCTTGTTACCCTTTATGTCTCTAGTCATTTAATCCCGTTTTGTGCCTTGGCCTTTCTAATTTTGTCCTTACATATTTGTGTTATTTATTTATATCCACTCTTTGTCATTTGACTTAGTTTTCACTCTTTTTTTAAGTTTCAGATCATGAAGATCTGGTTACGCTAAGGTAGCCTCTTGCCAAATTCCCTATGGGTATGTCTACACTGCCATCCTAGTTCAAACTAGGGTGGCTAATGTAGTCATTCGAACTTGCAAATGAAGCCCGGGATTAAAATATCCCGGGCTTTATTTGCATGTTCCCGGGCGCCGCCATTTTTAAATGCCCGGTAGTTCGAACTCCCTGCCCACGGCTACACACGGCATGGGCTAGGTAGTTCGAATTAAAGCTCCTAATTAGAACTACCATTACTCCTCATTGCAGTAACTACCGTTACTCCTCAGTGTAGCCACAGGCAGTGTCATGAAGCGTGTCAGTGACAAACTGACAACCTTAGAAACATATTGAAAGACAAACAACCACCCAAGGGTTTGTTTCACAAAATGTTCAGATAATAGGCTTTATCACTGAGGAGAGGCCTACCTGAGCAGTGGATTACTGCATGGACTCATGGGGCCCATGCCCAGGGGCCTTTGCTAATTTGGGTCCCCTGGAAAAATAGCCCCTTGCCATTGCCCCAGGGCTGAAGGAGCTCCCACTCCTCACTACGGCCCATGGCTATGTCAGTGGCACAGAGCTTCTCCAGTCTCAGGGCTACAGCGGTGCAGTGGTGGAGAGGAACAAGCAGGGGGCAGGGCTATGTGGGGAGAAGTGGAATGGTGCAGGGCTGTCAGAGGAACAAGAGGGGACTTCGGAGGAAGGCGCAGAACAGGGGTGGGGCTGTGGGTGGCTCCACATACAGAAGAGGCAGAATAGGGGTGGGAGTACAGGCGGAAGGGTGAGGTTGTGGTTCTGGTGCCGGGGCACCCTTTGTAGCTCTGGCCCAGCATCACAGGAGACCTTAGTCTGTTGCTGTACCTGAGGGAAGGCCCTAAAGTTTTAAGCAGGTATATATACCAACCTAATCCATTTCAACCCAGGTGTTCCAGTGCTCAATACTGTTCCCTGACTATAAGATGAGGTTGTATCATTGAAATATGTGTACCAGATTGCTCTAACCTTTTCTTTGGCACAGAATATGAGAGGTTTCATGTGTGTGGAGAAGTTTGATGTATGTAACATGCACATGAGCATTGATCGATTGCTGGCATCAAGATCTGTGTGGGCATTCAGACAAAGGGAGAACCAAACAAATAGCCTGAGATACGTATTTGTAGAAGAAACGGACTTACGAGTAGAAGAGAGAAAATAAAGGAGAAAAAGTTGTGGTTTAGAGTACAGAAACGGGGTCCTGCTCAGGCCACTGCAGAATAGAGGCAAGAAAAAAGTGGAAAATTAGACAAATGAACATTTTAGTAACTGAAAGGAATAGTAATTTTAAAGTTTACCACCAGAGCTTATATCTTTATTCAGGTGTTTAACAGGCAGCTGCGTAAAATGGAATGGATTATACACAGCAATTACAAGGGGAGAAAAATATAGCAGGTATTTTTCGGAACAGGAGTGTTAGTAAAAAGACCTCCCACTTGAGTTATATTCACAGATTCAGAGTATGCCCCACAGACCTATGCATTGAGGGACCCTGCACACACAGACCTCACCCCTAGTGACTCATCTACCTCTGCAATGCTGATTCCCACTGACTGTTCATGATTTTGGGGGTTGTTGCAGAGGGAGAAGCAGAGATTGTATAGATCACTGGGGTGCCAATTAAAACAATTCTTAGGGGGAGAAAGGGAGGGAGAAACTGTGTCAGCATAGAGCAGGTTATACCTGATTCTGTTATATTCTGCAAAGTCAGAGTGGGGGAGGGGAAGACCCGATGGAACATATAGACCTATGAAAAGTCTGGGGTGAGGAGCAAATGACCCTCTTGCCTTATAGCAAATGGCACTTTGGCAGGCCTGGGAGAGGAATGGTTAGGGCAAGTCTCCCTAGGTAGTGGGTGGCTGAAGCTAAATGGAGCTCGGTCCTGCCACTCCATTGGCACAGCCTAGGCAAAACTCCCTGTCCAGCAGTGCCAGGACCAGGAAGGAATGGGGTGCTATAGGGAGGAGGGGGGCTCTGTCTGCATACTTCACATGATGCTGTGGCAGGCTCCTTCAGATCAGGAAGCGGCCAGAGTGAATGCGCTGGACTAGGGATTTGGGCCCAGCCCTGCAGCCAGGAGTTGTGGCTGCCAGCTGGAAGACTCTATTTAATAATCTTAGCATGTCACCATTCTCAGGGGATCTGGGGACTTTGGATAGGCCCCACCATCTGTTTGCAGGGAGTAAGGGAGGAAACCCTTGCACCATCAACACAGCTATTAGTGAAAGATTTCCATGTGATCAGCACTCAGATATTTCCTCTCAGAGAGCCCTTCCCTCCATGGGTTTGAGTTGCCCTTTGGCAGCTCCAAAATCCTACACCCATCTCTGTTTAAGATTTAATAATGTTTTGTGGCCTATATGAAATGAGTAAGTGGTCCCAGTCGAGTTCCTGTTGGAAGGGAGCGTCCATACACAAAAACTAGTCCCAACAACTGGCATTCAGTTGCACCTTGCTGAAATACTCCACAGAAGGGTCAAGGACTGAATTGGCTGGTGACTAGGACCTGGTCTACACTTTGGGCTTGTCTACACTGCCACTTTACTGTACTGTAACTTTCTCACTCAGGGGTATTGAAAAACACTCCCCTGAGGGCAGCAAATTACAGCTCTGTAAAGTGCCCGTGTAAACAGGCTCCAGTACTGTTAGCTACTTCCCTTGTGGAGGTGGTTTACCAATATCGCTGGGTGAGATCTCTCCCAGTGCTGGTGCCATGACCACGCTGCTGCATTAAAGCACTGCTGAGGTTGCGCTTTAAACTTAGCCGAGTAGACAAAGCCTTTGAAAAGCTTTGCTGGCATAACTATGCCAATGGGAGGGGTTGTGATATACCTGTGTTGGTAAAAGCTCTCCTATAGATGCTGTTATGATGGTATAACAACTTGCATAACTTTTGCTGGTTCCTGAAAATGCCATAAGCAATACCGATACTGATTATTTTACTAGGAGGGCGGGGAAGCACTGGAAGGATTACCTAGGGAGGGGGTGGAATCTCTATCCCTTGAGGTTTTTAAGTCCTGGATTGACATAGTTAGCATTGGTCCAGCTTTGGGTAGGGGTTGGACTCTATGACCTCCTTAGGTCTCTTCCAGCCCTGGGATTCTATGATTCTATGATACAAATGAGTTCATACTAGACGGCTGTGTCTACATTGGCACCCCTTTCTGGAAAAGGGATGCTAATGAGACCAGTCGGAATTGCAAATTCCACGGGGAATTTAAATATCCCCCGCGGCATTTGCATTTACATGGCTGCCGCTTTTTTCCGGCTCGGGGTTTTGCCAGAGAAAAGCCCCAGTCTAGACGCGATTTTCCAGAAAAGAAGCCCTTTTCTGGAAGATCCCTTATTCCTAATTTCAAGTAGGAATAAGGGATCTTCCGGAAAAGGGCTTATTATGCAACTACAGTGGCAAAACCCTTCTAGCGTAGGCAAGTCTTATCTGACTCTCTGACGCCCTAGGACAGGTGTGAAACACACTAGCAGCATGGGGAAACAATATTGTCCTGGGTCTATGGAGAAAGCACCTCGTTCCTCAACACTGTTAGCTATTTCCTCCCTTCTTTGTCATTGTAAAAGGATTCCAGTTTATGGAATATTTATAGTACGTCAGCAAGGAGCAGTCCGCTCATGAGCAAACAGGCTGATGGTGTTTAGAAACTCCCTTGGATACAGCAGAACGTTTGTTTGATATCTTACTGGATGGCATGACACAGAAGAAACATTTAGGTACGGCTGAAGCAGACTAAAGCAAATGAAACCCAGGTCTATCTTCAGTTCACATTCTAGGACCATGGATGGCAGGTGTCTATGGAAGAGGCAGAATGTTTTTCTTCTTTTGCTTTTGTTAAGTGGAATATCTGGTAAGAACACAATTTTATTCAATTGTTAAATTTAAATCATTCTTGTCTGTTATAGTTTCTCTTAAGTGACCTACATTATATTTTTGAGATCAGAACTTTTGACAAAATTCAAGAAACAGCTATTTTGCTACTGAACTACATTGAACCACAGGGCTGCATCAGTATAACTGAGGGGAGATTCCAGCTCACTGTTGTTATTTATTTACCATTATGATAATATTATAGCAGACACAGTGCTCCAGTGAGAGCATTGGGGTGGGAAAGCATGTGAATTTTAAAGTCGGTCCACTTTAGGCTGCTCCAGGCTTTATTCATATTTCAGCTGAATTTTAAAAAATTAAACAAAAAATTGAGGAGTTTTTAATTTATGCTTGTAGCAAGTTTTAAGAAGACCTTGCAATAAAGACATGTATAAAGCCAAGTACAGTACTCCACCATCTTAAATCTTGTGTAACTGGTAGCACTTTATACCTGCTTCCAATCTGACAACTTTTAAAACACTCATTTCGTCATTTCAACTAAAAATCAGACTGGTAGTGTTTTATACCCACTTGCACAGATATATAGGACTTTATCAGGTGCAAATCAGATTAGAATCAGGCCAGGAGAATTTAGACTTTTTTTTCCTAGGTTAATGTTAGTGGTAACTTTAATATTTGGTGAATTAAAAACCAACCAACCAAACCCTCCCCTCCCCCAAACCCAGACCATGGCATTTTAGCTTGGCAATATCAGCATTTGTTTCAGCATGAAAGCTTTGCAGATACACAAAGAACATACCTTCTACCAACCATTGCTAGCACCAGCTTTGTTTGCTTGTGTAATTTACAGCAGAGGTTTCTTAAAACTGTTGTCTGTGGCTCACTCAGCACTTGCTGGTGCTTGCAGAGAACTGGCTGCTTGCGCATAGCTGGCTCTCCTTTTATCTTATCATTATTTGCTTTAAAAGAAACTTTGCCAACTCTCACAAATCTTGTGCTATTTGGAGTTTTCCCCTGTAAGTCCCAATTGGTGGAATCTATAGATTTTATGAGAATCTCAATTTTCAAAAGAGTAAAACTTGAGTGTACCATAAAGGCTCAGAATTCAGAAGGCAAACAAGCAATCTCAAAATACAATATTTTTAAAATAAATTGATAATAAATTAACCTTTGATTTTTTTTATGCCAAAACTCAGTGTTTGGGGTTGGCAATGCAAATAATATACTACACAGCGACAAATTTCAAAATAACGTACTATTTCAAACCATCCCTTACCCTCATGCAACGAGCTTTACTGGGATGGCAAAATAGTGTGCCCGTTATTCTGAAAAATATTTCAAAATAACGTGTGGCTCGTGTAGACGGGGTTAGCTATTTCAGGATACCTCTGGGGAAATCATAAATTTCCCCTTCCTCCTCTTCCCTCTTAGGTACCCTCCAATGCCACCAACAGGCTGACCCTTCCACCAGCCTAGAAGCCCCAGGCTCCCCATCCAAATCTGAGTGAGTGGCATTGTGACCTAGTGCATGGCATTGCAGACACTTTTTTTCTCCCTTTCTAATGTTGGCCCAGGTTCTGGCCCTGAACAGATTGCAATGCAATAGCAGTATCTTGCAAAGTGCCAACTACCAGGGTTGGGGGTGTGGGCGGAGGGAGATTAAGCTCACGAATTTTTTGGGAGTTGCTCAGCACTTGCCTTCCCCTATGTAAATTTATGACAAGACATGTTAGAAAGGGAAGAGGAAGGGAAAGAAGGCACAAGGGGAGGGCATCTATTAAGAACAGAATTCACAAAAGAATCCTAAACATCTTTTAGTCACACGCATTTTCTTGTCTGACTTTATTTTTTACTGTGACTCAGTTCAAAGAGGCAGCAACAGAGAAGGGTGACCAACAGGAAATGTAATATGTCTCTAGCTATCATACGAATGCAAACAATGTAGTAATGATACTCATTAACATCAGTAACTTCTTGCAGTGGCAGGACCACAGCATTTAAGAGGAAAATAAATTGAGTCTTTTGTCACTTGCTGGGGTTCACTAGCATTGTAACATAACAATTCATGCCAACCCAAGAGGAATATCAGGTCATTTGTGTTCACAGTCCGTGGCAGAAGGTGTGTGCTCCATTGCAGCTAACATTCACAGAGGGCTTCACAGGAGTGTCATTGTACTTTCCTTTTCAAATTTGCAGGGGGAAGAACCCTGTCACTTAATGGCTTGCCTGCTACAGGCAATGTGACAGAAAATTCTTCAGCTCATGTTCTGGTTCATACATTTCATGTTACTTTATCACCATCACCTTCTGAAGTGGTTTCAGGATATCCTTTAATAATAAACTCAAATCCACTTACAGCAGCTTTTCGGATTGACCCTGGAGCTCCACATACTTACACAGTAAGTTTTCAATTCAGCTTGGGCAATGTGGTTAGTCTGTAGACTAATGCTTATTCTTTGGATTACTGCGAGTTGATATTGGCACAGTATTTATTCATGTATCATTTAGCTGCAAGAGTTGCAAAAGTAGATTAAGGTATCTATTGCAGGGAATTCAGCACATGAATTGTGGATAGTGCTTCCAGCCTTTTAATTAGTGCAGAGGGGAAAAAATCTACCACATTTGATCCATCTATCAGAAGTCTTTGTTTTAAAAAATGCTAAGGTGAATAAAAGCACCTGGGGCCTGATTCTGATCCCCATGCAGATTAAGGTGATGTAAAATCAGAATCAGGCCCCATTGAATCCAACTTGTTTCCATTATAACTGAGCCTTATTAACTCACCTCAGTGAGGAAGATTGTCAAGCTCACTTAACAGCTGACTCCTGTACTGAGGAACCCTTGGGTGGCAAACAGCTGCCCTAGGGATGGGTTGTACCCCTCTTGGCTGCTGCAGGCTGGATGTGTGGGAAAAAGAGGTGTGGCTGCGCTCCTAGATAACCTTAGTTACTAACAGGGCCCTTTGGGACTCTGCTCAGCAGCATAGCTGGCACAAGATAGACAATTCTCAAGGTCCCCTACTTCACTGTGGGAGGCAGACATATCATCTGTAGGACCTGATGGATAATGAGTTATTTTAAAGCAGAAAATCCTGTATCTAAAAAAAGCAGAAAGGCCTGTATCTAAAAAGCACCTAGTTTTATTGCTCAGGGCTGCGAAAATGTTCATACCCTCTGTGATGTAGGTGAGTTGACCTAAGCCCATGGTAGATGCAGCTAGAGTGACAGAAGAATTCTTCCATCAGCTTAGCTACCAGCTCTCCAAGAGGTGGATTACCTGCATCAATGGAAAATAGGGTGGCCAGATGGCCCAGTATTATTGGGATCATCCTGATATTAGGGCATTTGTCTTATATAAACCATTATAAATCCCCCTTCCCAAAAGCATCATGATTTCTCACATTTGCTATCAGGTCATCCTAATGGGAAATCACCTGCTGTAGGTATAAGAAGCCTCTATATTGCAGAATAATACCTGTGTTGCTGTAGTGTAGATATCCCCTAAAATCTGTCCCAGTGGCTCCGCTGTGAATTATTAAGTTCTGCAAGCTAGCAGGCAAACGAACAAACATGGTTTAAAAAACCAGGATGATGCAGCACAGATGTAATTAGCTCATTTACTTGTCAGGTACAGTTAGTGTTAATTATTTATGCAACTGCATAGTATTCGAATGAATGTTTTGTGCTGTATTTTGTAAGAGTAATGAATTCATAGTACAGTATTAGGATGCCCCAGAATTACATTCTGCTGCTATTAAGTTTGCTGATATATGGGGAAAGGCTGTTTTCATGCATTAATTATGGGGGGCTGACAATTAGAACCTTGCTTTATGAAGCGCATTTCCTCCCAATGAGGATAACAATTTTCTTGATCCTTTTGGGAATTTCTGAGGAGGCCACAGAGATTGATAAATGAACCCCTTTTCCCTTTCACAGACTACACTGTAGTCTGCATCATTATCCAGCTAGGGTCAGGCCAAAGTGCAATCACACTATGGAGCTTTTACTGAGCATCAGCAAGCCCCCCTGGACAGCTAATGCTAGCATGATTTGGATTTACCTCCCTCCCAGCTAGCCTATGTCCTGTTTGCACAGACAAGCCCTTTGGTTTAATAGAATATTCCCATTCAGCAGAGACCATCTGGAATAACTCAAAATGCATTGGTTGGCTGAAGCTCCCTTGATGCAGTTGTGATGATACTTGTTCTCTCTTTTTACTGCTCTCTGCTGCAGCACTGTGTGAGCAGGAGGAGAGCACAGGGAGATTCTTCCCAACCCTCTGTCCACACAACAAAGGCAACAGAGAGGAACCTGCTCTGCTATGCAGGAGCCTGCTAGTCCCTGCACCAAGTCTCTTGCTTAGAGCGTATCTGGCGTCCCCCTCTCCAGGCTCTCAGCTGGCAAGAACAGATATTAGCAGCAGCAGTTGGGGGTAGAAATGTTCCTGCTCGGAGGTGCAAAGTATGGTCCAGCTCATGCCCAGCTGATGTGCTGTATTTCTCCACTGTGCTCTGTAAGAAGAACAATTGAGCATCACCTTACTCTTCACTGGAGAGGCATCTAAAACCAGCAGCATCAAAGCTTTATATGTAGTCTAACACACTGTGCATGAAACCAGTGAATTAATTATTGTGAATTGGAGGAATCCAATCAGCTTAGAAACATGTAGATTCTTGTTTAGATGGGGTGACAGGGAAGCACCTACCTTCTGCGACTGCCCCCTGGTCAGTGTGTGTGTTCCTGCAGTTTTTCCCCACTCTCCAAGTCACATGCTCTCCAAGTCTACACTGGCATGATCTTGCACAAAAACTCTTTAGGGTAAGAGTTCTTGCGTTAAAGTAGTTGTGCAAGAGAGCGTCTACACTGGCATGTGCTTTTGCGCAAGAAAGCTCTGATGGCCATTTTAACCGTAGGGCTTTCTTGTGCAAGAAATTCATGTTGCCTGTCTACACTGGCCTCTTGCACAAGAGGGCTTATTCCTGAGTGGGAGCATCATAGTTCTTGCGCAAGAAGCCCTGATTTTATACAGTAGAATGTCAGTGTACTTGCGCAAGAACACATGGCCAGTGTAGGCAGGCAGCAAGTTTTTGCGCAAGAGCAGCCTCTTTGGAGCAAGATCGCGCCAATGTAAACACAGTGCAAGGGTATGTCTACACAGCAGCATTATTTTGGAATAACAAAGAGTGTGTCTACACAGCAAGTCATTATTTTGAAATAATGTCGTGCTGGAGGACTTCTTACTCCGACTTCTGTAACCCTCATTTCACAAGGAGTAAGGGAAGTTGAAGGAAGATGTTCCTCTTCCCAAAACAACACAGAGCAACTGTCTCCCCTAAATCCAACAGTACCCTACTTCATTGCTTCCCAGGGCTACTTCCTGCAATGCCTGTACCTCTCCCTGTTCAGAGAGGATACAAAGAGTTGCACAGATGAAGCCATAATTAAGGATAAGACTGTTCCATGACTGTCAGAGACCTCCATAACATTTTCTGCTGCTGCTTGTGGTGGTAGGGCCAGAGTTCTCAGCCTCTGTGGGCAGCAGTGGCCGCTGGGGGACCGTTGCAGGTGGTAGGGGCCCCCAGAGCTCCCAGTCACTGTGGGCAGCAAGGGGCATCCAGTGCTCTCAGCCACCTGCACCAGAGCTCACACAGAACTAGCAGCTGCCATGGGCACTGGGGGCCCCAGAGATCCCAGAAACCAGGACCCAGCCAACGAGGGGCTCTCAATTGTAGTGGAGCCATTAGCTGCCATGGGCAGTCAGAGCCCTGGAGCTGCAGTGGGGCCCCAGAACTGTCAGCCCTCTGGTGTATATGCCAGCCCCCCTTCCTCTCATCTCCCACTTTAGCACTCAGGCTTGAGCTGTCTGCCTTTCAGCTCCTCCACCATTATTTTTAGTAAAATTCAGACAGGTCTTGGACTTCCATGAACTTTTGTTTATTTTCCGTGACCTCTCTGTGACTTTAACTAAAAATAACCATGACAAAATCTTAACATCAGCAATATGGTCCTACAGTGCTACATATTCTTGATCACCATTTAGTAGTAACTAATCTATTAACTGAATAGACACAACGTTCCTGTGCAATCCTCCAGCAAATCCTTCCCAGAGTATTTCTGTACTGGGAACTGCCACTCATTCTGTCTAGGCCCTATAAACTCCTGCATCTAGCTCTCTTTTATTGCAGGGCTCTGTACTACATCTGGTCTGCTCCCTAGCCAGTCTCTCTCACTGGGGCTATGTCTACACTACAGGCTTCTTTCGGAAGAAGCTTTTTTTGGAAGAGATCTCTCAAAAAACGTCTTCTGAAAGAGAGCGTCCACACACAAAAGCACATTGAAAAAGCGATGTGCTTTTTCGAAATAGAGCATCCAGACTGATGGGATGCTCTCTTGCATAAAAGGCCACCCGGAACCTCTTCAGCCAGGGCTTTAGGTCACCAGTTGCTTCTGAGTGCTGGTGCCAGAGTCTTGCAGAGACATGCGCTTAAAGAGACCAGCCGTTTCTCTGCTTCTGCTGCGTGCTTGCCTACCTCTTCGAGGGACAGCAAAGCTCTTGCAAGTACTGCTGTGGCTGCCCTGCTTTTTTGGATGCCACAGCTTTTCTCTTGGTGCCATGGAGCTGGAGTTGCCCTGGGCATGTGCTGGTCCCACACGGCCATGCTGTAGTTTTTGCAGCACTTTGTGCCAGCTTCCCTCCTGGTCCTTACTGAGCTTGACCCGGAGCTCATTCTAGGGACCGTCTCCCTGGTCGTGGGAGCTACATTCTGGCAACTGTAGCCCACTGTTGAGAAGCATTTCTGGAGGCTCAAAACTAGCTCGAACTGGTGGGAGCAGCTGGCCATGGAGCGGTGGGACGACCAACAGTGGCTCCAAAACTTCCACATGCAGAAGGCCACCTTTTTGGAGCTGTGTGCCTGGCTCACCCCCATCCTCCGGAGATGCAACACCCACCTGTGACCTGCCACCCCCTGGGGAACTGGGTCATAATCGCCCTGTCGAAGCTCGACACCCCTAACAGTTACCGATCAGTGGGCAACCAGTTCGACATGGGGAATTCCACCATCAGGGCCCTCCTCCTCCTCCTTCTGCATCTGATGAAGTGGGTCTTTGCCCACGAAAGCTTATGCTTCTACACTTCAGTTAGTCTATAAGGTGCCACAGGACTCCTCGCCGCTCATGGAGGTAAGGCACTCTTGGGCTGCAGCCCCTGCATGGGGGTCATGGGGGGAGAGTGTGGCATAAGGGGGACCTTCGGGAAAGGGGACTTGGAGTGTGTGGGGGGATGAAGTGGGGGTGGGAGGAAGCCCTGTCCCTAGGGGGTTGTGCTGTCCCATCCTCACACAGCCCTGTTTCTAGGGTGCAGCCTCATAGGGGATGGTTCCTGAGGTGTCTGGGGGGCGGGCACCTCCCAAGGGTTCAGACATTCCCTCTCTTCTTCTCTGTCTTGTGTGTTTCTTTGTCTCCTTCTGCACGTGGTGAGGGCCATCAACTCCATCCTGCTGCGGAGGGTCATTCGCCTGGGAGACCTGGACCCGATCATGGCCAGATTTGCTGCCCTAGGGTTCCTGAACTGCAGTTGAACCATTGATGGGACCCAAATCCTGCTCCACACACCTGAACATCAAGCGACCCAGTACATTAATCAGAAGGGCTACTTTTCTATAGTGCTGCAGGCTCTGGTCAACCACCCTGGACACTTCACGGACATTTTTGTTGGGTGGTCAGGCAGGGTACATGACTCCCAAGTCTTTAGAAACTCCAGCCTGTACCGCAAGCTGGATGTGGGCACATTCTTCCACCACCAGGACTGTGGTTGGGGATGTGCAGATGCCACTGTGCATCTGGAGGACCTGGCCTACCCCTCATGCCGTGGGTGATGAAGCCATACATTGGCCACCTGGACGCCAGGAGGGACCTTTTTAATGCCTGCCTAAACCATGCCCAGATCCAGGTAGAGTGAGCCTTCAGCTGCCTCAAGGCACAGTTGCAATGCCTGCTGACCTGCATCGATGTGGAGCAGCATAACATCCCCGAGGTGGCTGTGGCATGTTGTGTCCCCCACAACATTGTGGAGAGGAAGAGCGAGGCCTTCCTCTCGGGATGGAGGGCAGATGCTGATGGTGAGGGGTGAGCGTTTGAGAAGCCGAGGACAGCTGCCATCTGCCCCAGTAACTCTCCCCAGGGCCTCCCCAAGAGGGGCCTCTGGCTTGCAGCCCTATCCCTTCCCACCATATCCCCTCCCTTTGCCCTTTCCCTGATCTCTCAATAAACACACCTGTTTGGTTTTGAAAAAAACGAAGTCTGTATTTATCTAACATTAAGAAAAGGTGGGCTGGAGGAGGGGGGCTCAAGGCTGGGAGGGGTGTCAGGGGAGGCTATATGTCCCACCTCGGGTCTGGGGACCTCATCAGAGTTGGGGTTGGGTGGGGTCCAGGGATCCCAGGAGGGGGGGCTGGAGTGGGGTTGGGAGTCAGGGGAGGGGGCATGGGCATTGCTAGGGAAAGGGGCAGAGGCATCTCCTGGGGAGGGAGCAGAGACATTGCATGGGGGGCAGTGAGGGCAGGAGGGTGGTAGGCAAGAGCAGCAAAAACAGCCAGGTGTACCATCATGTCATGCATGATGGCACACATGCTATCACACCACTGGATGAGCTGGTCCCATGTGCGGTTCCGCCACTCTGCTTTCTCCCAGATCTTCTTTGCCAGGGTCTGCTGCATGTCGCACAGGATGCTGACATGCTTCTACATCAGGTCTTCATGGACCCTGGTGCACTTTTGGGTACCCCAGGCTCTGGCGGCTGGCTCGGTTGGTGTGGCTCGCCCCTACATCCCAGCTGGTCCAGCTGTGGAGAACACAAAGAGAGAAAGGAGGTCAGTCATCCCTGCAGACACTTTAAGAACAGAGCAGGTACTCAGGTGGGTGAGCAACATGATGGCACACGTTGTCACACCGCTGCATGAGCTGGTCCCAAGTGTGGTTCCGCCACTCTGCGTCATTGCGGATCTTCTGCCCCAGGGTCTGCTGCATGTCACACAGGACACGGACATGCTGGTGCATGAGGTCTTCCTGGACCTTGGCGTGCCTTCGGGTTCCCTGGGCTCTGGCAGGTGGCTGCCGTGGTGTGGCTCACCCCTCAGTCCCAGCTGTGGAGAACACAAAGAGAGAAAGGAGGTCAGTCATCCCTGCAGACACTGTCCCTGAGGCCATGCCCTCCTCTGTGAGTAGCGACCAACAGTCCTCAGCCCAGAGGAAGGGGATGTCCCGGGTGCAAGGCCATGTCTGGACTGCACAGCGAGCCATGCCTCACAGGGGCCTTGAGGTGCCCAGGGGACCATGCTGCCCGCATCTCCCCCGCCCCTAGGCCCACAGACAAGCAGGCAAGGGAAGTGTCCGGCCACAGTGGGATCCCCTCATGGGTGGCAGAGGAGCTGGGAGCAACTTGGCCCTCCCTGGGGTCCACACACGCACCTGTGGCTCACAGCGCTGCCTGCAGGAGCGGGTGCTGCCTAGCACATGCAGCCACGCCCATGTGCTGTGTGCAGCACTCCTTTGTCTGTGTGGGGTCATGCCTACCCTTGTGGCTAGCCTGCTTCCAGCCGTGGTACTGTTCCCCCCCCCCCCAACTGGTGGCAGGATGTGTATGGCCTGGCAGTAGGATCTCACCCGTGCTCAGGAGTCGCATGATGCATCCAGGTGCCGCACACTAACGCTGCATGTGGGTCCATGTGCATGGACTGCAGCATGATGTCCAGCCTGAGCAGCCCGAGTGACACTCGCCCCTCGCTCCCTGTGCGCCTGCCTCCCCCGCCCTGGGCGTGTGACAAAGTGAGACCACTCATCTGACGATCCCTCCCAGGCCTCCGAGGAGGCCTGGAAAATGTCCTGGCTCACAAGCACTGGCTCGAGGGACAGGGTGACAGTCTCCTCCTCCTCCTCCTCCCGCTGGCCCTGGTCCTCCTGCTCCTCCTCCACCGAGACATCCAGCCGGGCGATGACAGAGGTCTCCACACCAGAGTTCACAAGGATGGGTGGGGAAGACGTTTCCCTATCCCCCAGGATCTGAAAATGTCCTGGCTCACAAGCACTGGCTCGAGGGACAGGGTGACAGTCTCCTCCTCCTCCTCCTCCCGCTGGCCCTGGTCCTCCTGCTCCTCCTCCACCGAGACATCCAGCCGGGCGATGACAGAGGTCTCCACACCAGAGTTCACAAGGATGGGTGGGGAAGACGTTTCCCTATCCCCCAGGATCTGGTGGAGCTCCTTGTAATAGGGACAGATGCGGGGTCCTGCCCGAGCGTGAGCTGAGCTCTCTGGCCCAGACATAGCCCTAGCAGAGCTTAACCTTACTCCGGACCGGTTCCAAGGACTGGGGTGGGTGTCCGTGCGCTGCCAGGGTCTCGGCTATTCACTCTATATGTTGGCATTGTGGCGCTTGGCCCAGAGATCCTTCAAGGTGTCCTCCTTGCCCCACAGCTCCAGGAGCAACAGGATCTCCAGTCCACACCACGAGGGTGCCCGCCTCTTGCTCCCCCTGGGTGGGTCCTGGGACCCCTGGAGCTGCTCCTTGCGAGGGCCAGGTGGGTTGCGGGGGGCTTGTGACTTGGACATAGCCCCAAATGCTGTGGCAGGGGGAGCTGCGCAGTCAGGGTGCTGCTCCAGGATGGTTTCCTGCCGCAAGGCTTATCCAGGGTGCCTGCAGCTTTAAGAGGGGCCAGGAGAAAGAGTTGTGATTACTTTGGATGGAGTGTCCACCAGGGCACCTGTGTTATTTCCTGGAGGCCTCTTCTTCTGAAAGAAAACCCTCCTCCCCATCCACACATGCTTTTTTCCAAAAGAGCTCTTCCGGAAAAAGGTTTCTTCCTCATAGAATGAGGATTACCAATGTCAGAAAAAGCCCTCTGCTCTTTCAATTTACTTTTGGAAGGACACGATTGCAGTGTGGACGTTCCACAAGTTGTCGGAAAAACGGCCGTTTTTCTAACAAAACACTGTAGTGTAGACATACCCTATTATATAATTCTATCCTCTGTGTCTCTCGGGTCTTACTTCTAACCTTAGGGAAGAAATGACACCTCTAGGGACTACAATTCCCAGAATGTCCTTCCTTAAAGATGCAGAATTTGCAAGGATGTGCAAAACTCTTAAAGAGACAGGGTATCCTGTAAAGGGGACAAGTGGCTTCAGATTAGCTTTCCCCTGCAAAAAACACCCCCCTCCACTGTTCTTTGCTCATAAGGTAATCTTCCTGAGCTGCTCTCCAAAGCCACTATCCTCTCTCCTCTTTTTTCATCATGCCTACAAGAGCTTTGCAAATTAAGTTTTTATTTATTCTTTCTATCCATTTATCTCATTAAAACAAAATTGCTTCAGCATTCTGCCTTGCTGATTAACTATAGTTTCTTACTGAGATTTCCACTCTTTTTCCTTTTTTACCCCACTGTCGTGTTTCCCATCTAGTTGTGACATGTCCAAAATTAGTTTTTAACTCCTCGGGGTTATTTTGTCTATATTGGGAAGTCCTTAGCACACTTGCTGATATCACTGAAATAACAATGTCATTCTCATTAAAATATCGACAACCCAAGGATGTGTCAGATGCCAGATTTTTGTTTTGTTCATTGCGCCCAACTAAATACTGATCAGTCCTATACAATATTATAACATATATTACATCATCAGTAGCTTCTTCCCAACTCTTACAGCCTTCATTTGTATTGATTCTTTTTCCTTTCTTGATGGCTTCCAATACATACTAAAGAAGAATTTTTGGGTGGCACATTGTAAAATATTGGGCATTTTACTTTAAAGTATCTGGGACCTTCAGCAGAGCTCAGGCCAGCAGCGAGTAAAAGATCATCTATAATACTACTCTCCATTCACCAAAGGCAAATGTCACTTTTTATATGTATTTATTCCCATGTAAAATAATTACAGATTTAATTGCATAGTGTGCTATTAATAATTTGTTACATTTCAGGTTGTTACCACTGGAGATCCTGACCTAGATTATGAAACTATGCCACACAGCTTTGAGTTGCAGATTTATGTTCAGGATACAGCTGGGGCAAGTGACCTTCAAATACTGACTGTCCAAATAATAGATGTTAATGAACCTCCTGTGTTTCATGGCAATTTGGCAGACCAAAGTAAGAGAACTGCTTGGAAGCAACATGAGAGATTAATGCTTGAAATTACAACACTGGGAAATTAAACCTTAATCACTAAATGTTATGGACCGGCAGTTGGGAACCACTGGTCTGTGGACCAGTGTTGGGCAGCAGACTGCTGGCTGCCGGGCCAGGCCACACCCCCATGGTTTGATGATTGGCTTGGGGGCATTCCCTGTAAGCTGCAGGGCAGCATGGCCATGCAGCTGTTAATTGAGCCCAGGGCCAGCTCACAACATTTTGGTACCTGAGGCGGGGAGCTCGAATGACACCCCCATGCCCCCTTTTCTCCTGCCTGCCTATTATGTCTCTTGTGCCCTCCTTCCTCCAGCACAGCACTCCACCATCTCTGTGCATCTAGAGCACAGAGAATACATATGCACCAGCAGCAGACACAATTTTCTATGCTCTGGGTCCTAGTGGCGCCCCCCCCCTCTCCCCACAGTCTGGCACCTGAGGCAGCTGCCTCAGTTCGCCTCATGGTAAAGCCAGCTCTGGGTTAAGCACTGGAACAAATTCCTAGGAAGGTTGTGAAATCTCTGTCATCAGATGTTTTTTTTTTAAGAACTGGTTGGAAAGACACCAGTCAGGAATGTTCTAGTAATTACTTAGTCCTGTTTTGAATGCAGGTTACTAGGACTAAATGGTCTACTGAAGTTCCTTCCAGTCTTATGCTTCTAAGATTCACTTCTATTATGGATTTTAGAGGCCTTATTTTACAGGTAAGGTTCCTGGGCACCCCTAGGCTAGTCTCCGCCCTGCTTCTCATGCGGGAGTTGAGACAGAGGAACCAGCTGCCCGGCAAGCCTGGTCTCCTCTAGTCTTCATTGGCACTGCTGGGTGGCTCCCTCCTCTCTCCCTACTCTGCGGGAACCTCCCCTGGCCTCCAGTTGCTCTCAGCCCAGCCAGCGCGCACACACAGGGACCTGCCACTGCCTGGCTGTGCTGAGCCCTGGTTGGGAGGCTGGGACAAGGCAGGAGAAGCCCTCCGAGCCGGAGTCAGCGCCCCACACTTTCAGCCCAGCCTCTCCCCGGCTTTGTCCCCTCTTTCGTTCACACTCCTTGCCCCCTTCCTCCCTTTCCCTTCCCTTCTTTGCCATCTACCCACAATTCCTTATCATGTGCATACAGATACAATGTAAAATAATATGTGACTGCTTAAAATTAATTATCATCACAAATAAGCAAATCAATTAATTACCACACTGAATATGCAAATATTACTATATTGGTCCACCAAAAGTTTTTTAATTAGTTTGCTGGCCTGCAGTATAAAAAAGGTTGGGAACCACTGTAATAAACAAAGCCTTTAGCAATGCTTATAATTAGGTTTGTCAAAATATTTCCCTTTTAAAGGGTCACTGTTGTCCCCTATGCTTTATGTTTTCACTTGTTCTCATGCAGGGAGTGAAGTTTTCCCCCTGAGAATTTCACTAAAAATGGGTCAGGCATTTTCAGGTACCAAAAGAGTAAAAAGAAAGCAGCACTAGTATTAACAATAAATATTTATGAACTCTTTTTGATTATCTGAAAGCTCTTCAATGGCAACTGTCAGACACTTCCTTGTTTGATAGAGAGCTAGGGTGGAATCCACTACCAAAGTATGTAGTACCATTGCAACCCACAAAACTCCCCTTGGATGCATCTAACCCTATAGATGCCTGACATCTAAATGTCTGCATCTGAATATGCACACAGCAGCTTCCCTTTATGCACCCTGGTGACAGTCTGTCACCTCAGTCCCCAGTGATTGACAAACCACGTGTTTGGTCATCTAAACCATCTCTGGGGCCTGCTTGAAGATTAAACAAAATACAGGACTATGTAGCACTTTAAAGACTAACAAGATGGTTTATTAGATGATGAGCTTTCGTGGGCCAGACCCACTTCCTCAGATCAAATAGTGGAAGAAAATACCGGTAGTCACAGCCATATATACCAAAGGATACCATTAAAAAAAATGAACACATATGAAAAGGACAAATCACATTTCAGAACAGAAGGGGGATGCATTTCTTTGTGATCCTGTCTAACATCTGTTTTGTGGGCATTGATTCTTTGGCGAAGTGTCTGAGACGTTTGTCCAATGTACATAGCAGACCCTTGCAACAAACCCCGCTGCCAGCTTTGTCCACATATTCACTCTGCTGACACCATTATTGGGCCTAACCAAGTGAGTTATAAGATCAAGAATACATATTCCTGCGCCTCCAGAAATATAATCTATGCTATCATGTGCCGAAAGTGTCCGTCTGCTATGTACATTGGACAAACGTCTCAGACACTTCGCCAAAGAATCAATGCCCACAAAACAGACATTAGACAGGATCACAAAGAAAAAACAGTTGCTTGCCATTTCAACCAGAAAGGACACTGTCTCAATGACCCTACTCACCTGCATCCTACTTCAGAAG